TGCTTATTCCTTTGATTTGTACAAGCACTCCAACTAGGAATGGCTCTCAGTTTGCTTATAAAACCAAGCGCTCCACGTTGGATGCAGTGGCCTATCTAGTACATACAACAGCATTTGCGTTAAATGCTAAATGTAAGGCTATGCGTCTGCTTTTACTGGATTATTCAAACGGCTTTTGGCAGTGATGACTAATCACCGCTTCTCAAACTGCGATGTGCAACCTAATTGGAAATTATTTCACAAATAGCTCGCAATTCACCCAACTGAACGGCGAAATGTCTTTCACTCTTCGTGTTACCTAGAGTCTTACAGAGGGCAATCATCTCCCATTTTCTTTTCTTTGTACATTGATAGAGTTTATTGGATGTAAATACGCCATGACTTTATTTTAAATAGTGCCGTTCCCACCAATGAGTCATTCTCGGCTCTTCAAAAGCGGTTGGACGGGCTTGAACCGTGGTCATCTTCCCGATCCTTGTCTTCAACGCTCCAAATTGCCGAGACTTAAACTTTTCCCATCTACATGCCGACAAACGTCAAACTTTCCCCAGTGCTTCGAGCACCATTGTTGTGAATGAATGCACTATGCTTAGTTCACTCACTGTTAGGTATCTTGCGGCGCTTTTATCCCAAAACTACACACATACGAATTACGGGTTTGACCATCATTAATGCATAAGTCTTGTTGGATGATGATGTGTCGTAGATTAGTTTGGTCGCCGATATAGAAGTACTCCTGATCTCAAAGTGGGCGGAAAACCTGAGCAGACGAAATCCGCGTGTGACAGAATGCCCTGTGCCACATGAACCCGGGAATTAGTGTCATGAACCCATCCTTCCCAATGCGTATCACCCAACCAACCTGCCCGTACGCATGTTCACCTGCTTCACTTTACCAGAACTGGTTCGTAGTTCAGTAAATCGAAGGGGACGTAAATGCTAATAATCTCAAACTAATTCCACAGTGACCACAACGGATTTGTACGAAAGTGGAACACGCGTAGTCAATCGGATTTTGTCTGCATGAACTGCGATGTGTGTTACGGGCCTCCTTAAGCATGCAGGTACCGCGAAACTCCACATAGCTACAGCTTTTCAACTTGCGGAGATGCTCGTCACCGGCAGCCTGAAGAGGAAAGAAGCTTCACTATGGTTTTGTATCACGCATCCTAAAAACAATTGCTCGCCGCCAGAATCCACTAGATCGTATGTCGGTGGTCAACTGAGACTACCGGAGAGACCTGTGTAAGTTATTCCAATTATCAACTCATGTGCCCCAGAACCATACGATCCAGACTATTGAACAACAAAGAAGAAAAAATGAACCATGATTTATCACGATTTAAAATAGAGGTGCTTGACACGCACCGCAGTACTGTTGGATTGAAGACTAAAGAAACAAAGGATGAATGAATGGTCAATTAAGTGTCTACCGATTGAATTACACTGCTGTACAATACTAGGGTGAAATGGGAATTGAATGTGCGCACATAAAGCAATATGGAGAGTAGTCATATGTGATGCAATCGATGAGAAAAACTAAGTGCAAATGAAAACACTTACATGTATGCAGCCTCCTTGAGCCGATGTCGCAAGTAGATCTAGTTTCCAAGGTTGCGGCGTTTAAAGAATCCTGTGCTGGAAATGAAGATGAGCACCTAGATTTGCAGTGTTATCTTGACACCCTGACACAGATCGTGTTATGGCGTAATGTAAATGCAGGAGTGTATCATCGAGACGTCTTTGGAATACCGTTAGTGTGGGAGAAGAAACAACGTAATTGGGGAGCGCCATTCAAGGTTGACACACGAAGTGACCTTACGACCCCGACTCATCATCATCATTATACACGATCCAGACTATTGAATAATGGACAACGATTTATCAGGGGGTAAAATAGCAGGTGCTTGACAAGTCACAGAGAACAGTTGGAGTAGAGTCTAAAATGGAGGATACTTGCATCGTAATTAGAATGCTTTCTTCTCAGCTGCTCACAAGCTACATAGCAAAGACTAGTCCGGAAAAGCACCAAATACGTTTCGCCTATTTGGACCCGTCAGTGGTGTGCATTCAATCGGTCCCCTACCTACTGGGGATCTAACTCATGACCGCTAGAGGCAGATGCCAACTAGCCAGCGGCTTAAGCCCCCTGCGCCATGTGTGACGTTGGATCGGGCTACACAATTTGCAAGCTAACTTGGATATTGCACGACCTATCTGTTACGCAGGATACTACCTAAGCTGGCTCGTTGGCATCTGCCTCTTATGGTCGTGGTTTCGATTCCCAGTAAGAGACTTGGGAATGCGCACCACTGACGAGTCCATACAGAACGAAACACGTCTGGTGGTATTTCAGACTGGGCTGTGTTATGTAGCTTGTGAGAAGCTGGACGGAACACATTACAATTAAAATTACAAAATCCTACACATTAGTGATAAAAAGAATCGTCAGTAAACAGTGGAACAATGGTTTTATATGGGTAAAAAGCTCATGTTTAACAGGTCTAGTAGGATAGTTATGTTCAAATTTCAAAGTACTAAAAGTGGTAGTAGCAAGATTGTTTTACACCGGTGAACTCAATGAGGCATACGTGGTGTAAGCTGCAAATCCAAAGCAAATCCATGAGGATTGCTGTAAATGCGTTGTTGATGAAAATTTTATCTCCTCCAGGTGTACACTTACATACTGTGGAAACTTGGTACGAAAACTGGTATCTGACCGCCAGTGAAATCGCTTACATGCACTTGTTTTTATCGTGGGTAATGAATGATTCATGTAAGATGTTGCAGCGAAATAAGTGCACGATCAACTCGGGCTTCGAACTCCGCCAGCGTGGGAGCACATATGACAGTTTCCGGTAGGGCATTCCACGTTCTGCAAACGCGCAGAGAAAAGAAATTCCGACGGCACTCTAAGCGACTGTGCTGCTCTGTCAACTCGAGATGCTGACGTCTCAAATGGCTGTTGTGAAAGAGCTCTGGTAAGTAGCGGCACGTCTGACTGGGATCTCACAGGATCTGGTAAGCCAAAGTAAGATCCCCGTGTAATCGCTGATGCTGTCCGCTGAAGACCACGAGCATTTGTATCCTCCGTACATGCGGCAAATTATACAGACCGTTTATAATCTCGGTTGCCCGGCGATGGGGTATCTCCAAGGCCGTGAGACCTCTCTTTAGCTATGACTGCCAGACCAGTATTGCGTATTCCACATGTGGCCGTATGTATAAGCCGAGAAGTTGTGGAAATATCGAATGATCGAATCGCCCGAATGCACGCTTTAGGAGGCCTACATGTTGGATGCCCCCTCGACGCCGTTTCCGCATTATTCGAGCAATCAAGCTCGCATTGGATCAAAACTTTCAGATCCTTCTCACCAGAGGTCGTTTGCAGCTCCTAGTTGCCTAGTTTGTAGGAGTAAACAAACATTGTAAGTCTGGAGGACAATTCAAGATTGACCTACACGAGGTGTAAAGAAATTCCGGCGACATTCCAACCGACTAAACTGTGTGGTAAACATTAGCTGGTGACCTCTCATCGTGGTATTGTGACTCAGCTTCAGAAGGTGGAGACAAGCATGGTCTGGATTCTTCAGGATCAAATATGTCATCATCAAATCGACATGCAGATATTGATATTGCCTACTGAAGAAAACAAAGGTTTTCAGCCGCAGAGGTTAATTGAGATGAAACATACCATTCACGTTCTTGGTCGCCCTTCGTTGTCGCATTTCAAGTGCGGTGAGTTCGTACTTGTGCCAGGGCTGCCAGGCGTGGATGACTTATTCCCAATGGTGTCCAACGTGAGTATTTAGCATCTGTGAGAAGGTAGGAGGGTGAAAACGCCGGAATGCGCTCCGCAAAATGCCAAGGTGTTGGTTTACCCCTTCAGATGCTTTTGCGGCCTGACGTTAACAGCCAAGATCCTGTTGCACCATCACACCTAGGTCGCATTCAGTAGAACCGCGCTTCAGAAGTTGATACCCCAGCCTGTACTCACAAGTGGACTGGTGATGTATGCTCAATGTCCCACAAGCGGTGGCGTTGAAAGGAAGCAAGTTCAGAGTCATCCATTCGGATACCTCATCAATCTTTGGATGATGGGACTTAAAAGAAAATCACACATTGTGACCGGTTGCCCGATCGATAACATATGCATGTGGAACAGTGTTACTGGTGCTGTCACCTGTCTAGGCGACACTCCCTTGTTAAGATTGTTCACCCAAATGACAGCAACGGAATGATATAAGTCCTGCGGTTTGTGTGTGGGGATTTTAACCTATCCGCAGGGCGAATCCATTTTGTTGCTTCGTCTATTGTATTCCACTCCGGGTGCTTAATTTGTGGTAAGGCTAGCTCGGATGTAGACACGGTACTTTAGGACATCTTGCCTTTAAGTGCGTACATCACACAATCGAGAATAAAAGTTTAGTTATTTATTTATAGTATAACATGTCGAAAGCAGTTATATCGCATTCCAGACAATTGCATCCATACTGCTATTTGAAACTGTATAATATACGGTGTGGTGTTTCAGATTATATTAGCACATCGCAGTTGGGGGTCAAAACACGATGCTCTGAACCGAAGCAAACGGCTATGCATCCAACTTCTAATTCACTAACCCAACGAAATCCAGTCACAGTGGATCGATTATCTGATCATCGCTCTGAACCAGCCGTTCTCAAATTGGCTGAACGCATCAGCTGGTACTGAGATGGAATCTTGAACAGTTGACCCAATCGCACGGGTCAGATGGAGGCATAGTTCACAAGCGGATGCCTTTGCCGTGTCTAGGTTCTGATCAAACCTGATCAATTATAAGCTGAATTAACCTCAAGGATATCACGAGCGGAGCATATATTAATTAATCATTCACTAATCGTCAAACCTTTCATACCGTTGGAAATTGAAAAAGCGGCCAAAATTCGCGATTCCTTGCTCCAGCGTCAATGGCTTCTGTCTGGCACCAGATTGGCAATATCACGTCGGCCTGCTTCTAGGATCAGCTGTTCCCACGCAACGTTGGTCAAGCTGAATTCGGAAAGCAAACGAGGATCAGCAGGTATAGATTTTCTCCCATTCTAGAATATGCGTAGGACATTCTCCATCAGGTACATTCTGTATACCACCATTAAGTTTAAATACGTATTGGCTTTCAATGTTCCACTGTTTCATTTTCCCATGTGACTGTTCTGTTCGCTTGTGGCAGGGGAGAATTTAGTTGCAAGCATCCATCCATTTGACCACCAAACTCAGAATATCCCGTTAAACAGGATTCGCTTCGTCATAGATATAACAGCGGATGGTACACGTGAGGTAACAATAGCCTGCTTGCTTCCCTCAATAGCTCATACTACTGGTTAAATGGGCCTATGATATTGAACTAGCTTTGCTTAATCTTGTGTACGAAGCTCGGCCCTGACAAACAATATGATGTCTCCAGTAATCTGAACTATCTTTTCCCGGGATTCGTTGTAGGAGTTGGTAAATCTCGGTGTTTAGGTGCTGAAGGTGAGACCTACACCGACAATTAAGCACCCAAACAAACAATGAGCCATGGAGGACGGTAGCCGACCACCACGAATTGTTAGTTAACTGCGATATAGCCCGACCCATCCCCCACTGTCACGCAGGCGCCTGCCATGCAGATGACAGCGGTTGGCCTTCCGGTGTCAGGACTTCCCGTTTACGGCAGCTATGCATCGACATAGCATTTATGGAATCCGTAAGGGCGAATTTATATTACCTATGAGTAGAAGGATTTTAGCGAGTATTTTTGTTCGTCGCAGTCAGCTGACAATTCGGATAAGTCAACTACCTATCCGGAAAAGCACCAGACGGCCGTTTCGCCCTATTGGGGCTCGTCAGTGGTGCGCATCCTTCGGTCCTCTAGTGAGGATCGAACCCATGACTGCTAGTGGCATGTACCAACTAGCCCGCGCTATGCAACTGAGCCATGGAGAACGGTAGCCGACCACCACGAATTGTTAGTTAACTGCGATATAGCCCCAACGTGTTTGTCTACTGGTCAACAATGACTGGGTTCCACTCTGCCGGGGTGTCTGGCATATACTTACCTACCGGGAGCATTCAAATGTGCTTCTAATGTATTCATGCTGAATACAATTATGATTGATCGCTTCCTGATGTTGTTCAAAGTAGCATCCAAACAACAAGCAAAGAATGTATGCATTAGCGCGCCAGTTAATTAATTTCACGAGCAGCATAAGATATCATGCTCATTAAGCTACTCGCACGAATAATAATCAAGCGTTGCATTGCTGTTCAATGTAATGGAACAAGACGAATGGGGAGAATGTATTGTGATACATCTGTGGGTATAATAGACTGTTCAAGTACGTTGTGTGGTAATGCATTCTGCTTGTCCAAATGTGTTGCAATAATGCTTATTCGCAATCCACTTGATCGTATTTACAGGAACCCTGCATCCACTGCACATTGCAAATGCATGCCTCGACGCTTGTTCATGAGCAAATGTCTTCCGGTCATCAACTTCCTTGATGTACGTAGACAAGTCGAAGACCATATCAAGAAATGAACCCGCGAATGTTGAGACGCATTTGCAGCAATTACACCCCGAGTGTTGAAGAACGGATGTTCTATGAGATCCTCACGAAAACACACCCTGACTCATGGAATCATGTGGGACAGAAGTCGCGAAGTGCGATGTGGAAACATTTGCTCTCAATCGCGTCTTACCAATGAGTGAAAATGAATACCACTGTGGAGGAGAGTCAAAAAACGAATTGAAGCATCGAACACATTCGAGGTGAGGATGAGAACGATTGTAGGATCAAATTGATGCGGACTAGATGAAAAGAAACCAGCGTTGTTGCTGCATCCTCCAAAACATTCGGTGAGACCGATGGGAGTCAGGCAGGTGATACGTGTATCAAAAGATGAATCCACGCTGAAAATGCAACCGTGTCCAGGGCTGTACCCATCCTCGGAGGGAGAATAGAAATACGACACAGCTCATACCGTAAAACTGCAAACTCCGAAACTGACGCAGTCTCTGATATTGAGTTTGTCATGAATGCTTCCATTTTCAGTGCGGAAACTACGGCTCCATCGATATTCACGCGGCCGGCTGTGAAAGTTTCAGTGGGGACTAAGCCACATTTGAACAACCAAGCGAAATTCGCGCTGGTCATTTCGGGTCGACAATCGAAATGGTGATTGAGTACTCAGTCGTCTTACCAAGCCTCCCGCTCTGGGATCAATGAACCACTAGCTGAGTGTGACAAACACAGGTGGTCAGAGGCACGACCCTGTGACGACTCCGCTGGAACAGGGAGTTGGAATGATGGACTATGGGGAAGATTGGGGTAGGTAAATTGTTCTCTTATCTAGGAAATTGGTTTGAAGGTTACCCGCGGTAAAATGAGCGGCATGTAAGGATTTATAAGAAACCATTATATCGGTGAATACTATATCTCGATAATGGGCAGCGATAGATGCCTGAGACGGTATGTTCAGTATTGACCTCGAATGAATGAAAACTGCGCAACCGTACAACACCTTGGTTTTTTCTTTTTATTTCGGTTGCGTGTACAACTTGGTTCTTGCTTCCATGTTATATCTGCAGGATATATAAACTAAGAAATTCGTATATTTGCCGATAAGCGGGGTCGGTCGGCTTTTTCCGTCGGCAAACCCTCATTTATTCCCCACCTTAGACAGTTAATGAAAATACATGTCCGTGTCTCTTTGGAAAGCAGGATTCCCTGTAAGCGTAGAACGAGGCACTCTGCAGTCACATGCACTCGTTCCTTGCTTGATGGAGGTACCACAAATCCAGTTGAGTATGAAATTGCAAATAAAATGTTCTGTTGCACCACAAACTGCTCTGAGCACAATCCAGGAATGAGTTCAAAATGGGAGATCTAGGCGAGTAAGTGTTTTTGGAAAAACCTAGTAGGTAGCCGGTAAGACCACGCTGTGATGAACAGCTGCCATTTGAAATGAAATGCCACGTGAGGATGGACCAAGGTAACTCGCAAGAGGCATTATCACAAAGGGGCGCCGCACATGGCCATATTAGATAAGGGGAAATGGGTGACCGCGTTGATTAGTGCGCTTAAGCCAGATGTTTCATCATCCGGGTACATGGTATGCAAAACTCTTGATCCTCGGTCGGTGGCATTTCAGAATTGTCAAGTTATTTGAATTACTTGCTTGATCCTGTTGGTTAGTTAGAAGCGTCGGTGATTGTCCTAACGCGAAAGCATTCATGCAGTAAAGCGGAGACGCAGAATGCTGGAGCTACGAGCCAGCTGCAGCCAAAATATCCCAAAACACAACGTGTTCGCATGAAGGAGCTGAATCTGCTGTTCCAAACCTATTGGATAGCCGATGCTGATAGGCGAATGATATGTGTTTCCGGCAGCGACAACTGTCCACTGGTCTCGGGAATGCCTAACGAATCTGTGACCAACGGAGTAACCGCAATTTAATTGTGCAAGAGGGTGGCATTATACGGGTGAGTCTGCATAGGCTGATTGGGGGGCTGAACGGAATGACGCTGAAACTGGACTGGGAGATGCCTCGATTGTGCGGAGTAATAAAAATCAAAGGTTTGGAGGAGGTGGCCTGGAGATATGCAGCTGTTTGGTTCCGCAGCGCGACAGTCATGTAAGCCGCAGTTAAATCTGCATTAATCAGGTGCGGGACGAAATGAGATGAACAGGCAAGCAGAGTACCATTGAAAGGGGAATTGGATGCAATGGGCTGCCGTTGATTGGTCATGGAAGCTGTGCTGTCAAGATTTAACGGGGTGCCAGCTGAAGACAACTAGGCTAAAGCAAGTGGCTAAGTGAATGGAGTAGAAAATGTTCGGTTCGTGACAAACTGATCAAAGACGGGTGTTGTCGAATTGGCAAGAAAGACGTGAGATTTTCGGAGATAGAGAACATGCACAAATGTGTTCCTGATGGACAAGTTTGGGGATTGGATAGGGATGTGTTGTAAGTAAGGACACTTGTTTCCAAGAATTTTTGCTACGTTCCATCGGGCTGTACCCCACACCTCTGCAATAGCAAAATAATTAGCAATAAAATAATCACTTGGAATAGCGGTTCCTCTGGATGAACCGGTCCTCCATCAAATTCCGATGTGCGTTAGAATAAGATCTCACAATAGGCTTAGCTAGGTGATACTCGATACGATTACAGTGGAAGGTAGCCCGAGCTGCAGAGTTTCAGGTTTGATGCAGTGCCCGTACGTTGTCTTGCTATGAACTGACTGATTTCTCCGCCATTCATTACACGTGGTGCGTCGGATTCCGTCTGCAATATGGTGATGTAGTAATCGGATTCCTAATTAGAATTCATCGACCAGACGTCGATGTATATAATAAGGACAAATTGTTCTAACCCGACACAACATATCGCCAGCTGTTGAGACTTGATGAAATTCACGAAAGCTTGTATGCCTACGATAGTAATTTTGTATCCACTGGTTCCTTTTGTTTTGATCCATCATACTAATGACTGCAGCCTTTTAAATATCCATGCTCGGCCAGTGGTTCATCAGTCTCTGGCATTGCGACAGGAGGTTTGCAGAGAGTACTGAGGACTCCAACACATTTGTTTGACGGTTTGAAATGGCCGACGCGAATATGTTTGTTGTTCAAAGTAGACTTAGTCCCTGCGGATGCATTCATGGTGATGAGCTGAATGTTGGTGGAGACGTCACTATCGTACCGGCGTTGGCGAACTTCTCCATAAATGCGATCGCATCAATTCCATCAATTTGGATCTATTAGTGGCTCGCGTTCAGAATCAGCACAGCACGGTTCCCTTTCATCAGGTAGGTAAATTGTTAATCTCAATGTGCCGACTGCGAAATGACGATGTCGCACCATCGGACAAATTCGTTAAGACGGAATAATGTAGTGTTCTAGGTCAATGGAGATGCAGTCATCCTTTCCAATCTCAGTTCTGTTGCCATCAGTGGACGTATCGTGTGTTGTAGCAGTGTTAAGAAAAATCCGTGTGGGTGATATGTTCACAGACTGACGGCGAGTGAGCACGCCTCTATCGGATGAACTCTTCCGTTGCGGAAACGCAAAGATTGAATCCGTTGGTGACGAGGTTGTTCAAAGCTCACTATGCATGTGAAATGCAAAACTTAGTTGGCACAACTTGACTGATGGTTTACAGCTGAAACATTCGTAATCACATATGGGAAGGCAAGGAGAGAACTCACTGAGAGAGAACCCCAGTAACACACTCGGTATCAAGTTGTGTCGCTCCACTGACGCTGATCAAAGTCTATCTTCGTGGGTCGATTTGGACCTAATGCATATCAGGTTTTAAAATGCAAATATTCGCGCATGTGTTATCCCTGGGCATACACTTGTTGCGATGTCTACAAGTGAATCCACTCGCTAGTTGTGCAACATCACAATCCAAATTTGTGAATCATCACCCCACAAGTTGTAGGGACACAAAAATTTCATCAATATTCCACTCAGCAAAAATGAACATTGGTTGTATCGCCCAAGTGAATTTTGTGTCCACTGTCTTGATATGACGTGCCAAGTTGATGCTCGAACAGAATTTGAATGCTGCACCGAGTCATTATTAGCAACGTATATCTGAACGCTTCCATCGAAGTATGAGGAAAAATGTTAAAGAATTAGAACTGTTTTGACAGTTTAGCCGTTTACAATTGCAGACGCGACTGGCAGTGACTTGGGACTATCAAATATCATTATCAGTGGGTATACGTTCTCTGAATCTGACAGTGAAGAAATGTAAATCCAACAATGAATTATATAGCTGCACTGAGCTTGATTCCACTATATGCTTTAGCATACTGGTGCGAATATTAGCCACTTGTACATCGGAGCACAGGTGATGTGGGACTGAAATCAGGTTCGTCAAATGAAGTATCTATGAGGTCCGCGTGTACTGCGTTGTGAACGCAGTTGCACAGCATCTGAGCATGAGGGAATCACTGTGATGTAGAGTTTGGAACGGCATGATGGGATCGACTCGCATCCGACAATTGGGCAGGGTGCAGAGTCCGGATTTCTCGCAATGTTCTCTTGCGCCAAAACCCGTATGCAACGAATAGGCCAGTTAGCGGCGTGTTGCAAACATTTTATCTTTCCTTAACCACAGGTGATCACACAGTAGTTGTGCGAGCCGTATTTTAGCACTGGTGTTTTGATGGAACAGAAGAGACAAGCGGTAACCTTAGCAGAACAGATTAAGAAGCCGCGTAGAAGTGCCCAGAACATCCCAAGTTCCATCCCATGCAGCGTGTTCGCAATGTTCACGAAATTCAACTTGTGGCGTGAGAGTCCTTCACGGATAGTGTGGAACGTTGCGGTTGGCCGTCGAAGACGTAGGTTCGGACTTCACTACCCCTCCATGGGTTTATGAATGCTGTAATGGCTGCGTTGACAGGCAGGTAGACTTCTGCAGATATTTCACAGGCGGTTGCGTTGTTGCTAAAATAAACCGTAGGCTTTAGCCTTGCTATTCACATTGCGCACATTCAGGTAGTCAGATAATATTGCATGCGGTGACATCAAAAGCTGTGGTGAATCATTGACGCAGATCAGGAGCGTAATGTTCCCAGATGCTGTGCAATGGGTTTGTAACTGATTGACGGAAACTGGTCGTCGAGTTCTATTCGTCTCCACTTTCGTCCATTAAGGCAGCCGCTGATGCACTGGCGTGGTGAGGTATCCTCCATGCACACACGCAGCGTGTAGGGGAAGATTTCCTTGTTTAACTTGTGAAAAATTTGGAAGTCTACGCACATCAACTCGATAGACGTTCCCTGGTTTATGGCTTTCAACTATCCATGCATCGTCAACAGCATGCTGATAGTGTAGAAACCACCTGGCATGAGACCGTGTTATGGAACCGTTAGACAAATTGATGAATGGTTATAAACGGGTGAAAAAGCTACTTCTAACCTGATCCCTTAGGATAGTTATAGTGAAACATCAAAACATAAAAACTTTTGTTAGCAAAATTGTTTCACACCGCTGAACTCACTGAGGTAGACGCGGTGTAAGCTGTAAACCCATACTGAATGACGGCAAATGCGTTGTTGATAAAAGGCGTATCTCCTTCAGGTGTACACCTACAGGAGGTGGAAAAGCGGAATGAAAGCTGAGATTTGACCGCCAGTGAAATCGCTTGCAGACACTTGTGTCTTTCCAGCGGAAATGAATGAATCAAGTAAGAGGTTGCAGCGAAATACATGCGCGGTCAACTCGGGCTTTGAACTCAGCCAACTCGCATGGGATCTGACATCGATTCATGCACACGTACTTCCAGGCGCCGATGTAGAAGAAAGCTTCTGATCCATCCTACGAGAGGATCACCAATATCAGAGGTTTGGAGGTTGAAGAGCAGAATGTTATGATCTAACCGGTTGAACGCCTTTGAGAA